CCCTTCGTCGTAAACCTATGTCCTCCTATCCTACAGTATCCTTTAATAATACCCCACTTATCCCTGTTGAGCAAATCCGATACCTTGGACTCCACTTCGACAGATGTCTAACCTGGAATCGTCATACCAGACTGAAACTACAAGAAACCGCTCGACGTTTCCGACTACTCCAGCACTTACTAGACAATTACTCAAAGCTCCCAGTCAATTACAAAAGACTCATGTACATGACTACAATAAGACCTATTTGGACTGACAGAGTTGAGCTCTGGGGCTCCACTAAGCCATTGAACTCTTCTCGTATCCAATCCTTAAAATCCAAAATCCTTCGTAAAATCCTGACTGCTCCTTACTTTGTCACAAATAAAATCATCCATAACGACCTTAATGTTCCTTATGTTTCTGACCTGGCCCAATTCAGATACCTATTCTTCCATAACAAACTTCAGAACCATTCTGATCCTCTTGTTTCCATCCTTGCTTCCTCTTCGATCCCTGACAACCCTCCGATGCGTCTGAAAAGAAGATGGCCTCGAGATTTCCTTTTGTAAATACATTCTTAGAATGATACCAGTGGGTAGTTTTTCAACAAGTAGTTTCATGTTATTATATTCTTTTGTTCACATTTACTGAATGTATTTTTATTTGTAATACAGTTATAAATATCATCAATAAATAAATAATAAATAACTTTTTTTTCATAACAAACATTTATTTGGTCTATTTTACTGGAAGCGCTTTTTGGTTTTTGTAATTTACGATACATTATAACCCATTTAATACTACAGTCAATATTTTGTCCAAATAAAAAAGAAATTGATTTACGTGTAATAACGTAAAGATCGGCCAAAACAAAATCTAAAATAAATTTTGTTTGAAATTATATTTTTTAAAAAATTTTCTCTGTATCCTAGGAACCATTGGAACGAACGGCGGGACAAGCTTCTAATATTTGTCGATGTAGCTTCACCGAAAAATATGTTTGAAATCGCAGACCCACAAACTGTGACTTCTCCTTGTTAGTGACAATTAATTATTATATATTATAATTATAGTTATTATTATAATTATTATATTAATTATTATTATAATTAAATATTCAATTAATTATTGAATATTATTTTTTTAATGACATATGAATTGAACTAGATCATTATTAGAATAAAAAATTATTTAATAACATATTTTTTTTATTCGTTATGAGGAGGATTTCTCTAGATCTCATTCCCTTGATCCGACAATATTGAAGTAACTCTAAAATGTGCTCTACGTTCTTTTCAGTATTCCGCATTTCTATACATGTATACGAGATAGTATCTATTCTGTACTTCCTTTCCTGAAAAGGGGGAAAATATAGCATTATATATTACAACCCAGCAGATTTATTTCACATGGCTGGTTTACAAAATATTCGACAATGTATTACAATGTATTGAAAATTCCTACGCCATTAAGGAATGCTCAATTTCAATGTTGGGAGATATACAATTTTTTTTTACATTTATGTAAAATTTAAAAATAAAACAATAAATAATAAAGAAATGAAATAAAAGCCACTACTGTAGATATGTATTTATATTTTATATAGTCACTAATTAATCAAATCATAATTAGATATGTGTTAGGCTTATAAGTTAACATAAAATTATGACAAAAATAATTATTTTTAAATTATTTTTTAAAACTTGTTTTTAAAAAAACTTAGGAAGGATATTTATTTGTTATATTACATACATTTATATAATTTACATCCTTTTGATTTTAATTTTCGATTAACTCCTACTTCACCATTTCCGGTATGCGAAAAGAGATGAATCTGTAGGTATAACCAAACCTATTCTAACCATAATGGGAAGGTTGAGATTCACTCCGTAGTCCCGCCACGAAATAAATTTCACCCAGGACGGATTCAAACTGGCGCACAGTGGGACGAGTAAGAGAAAACTCGCGACATCGCCTTTTTTTTTTTATAGCACTGAAATCTAGATAAACTGTTTTATTGGTGGCTTGTGTTCGTGGAGTTCTCGAGAATATTTTCAGTTGGCAGAATATACATTTTTCACTGTTTTATTAAATAGTGCAATTGAAAAAAATAAATAGATTTAGCCGGTGTCACGATTTTTCTCTTACTCTTCCCATTATGTCGCTAGACTGGAGAACATTAAAATTTGCGCTTTAACACGCTCGGCCATCATGACTTCATATATTCTTGATTTCTAAATGCAACTTAGTTAGTTCTAATTAAATAAAAAAAGGGCCCTCCACCTGAAGGCAGTGACGCTTGAACACCCACTCCTCTCCTACAAAAACTTTATTACATAAGTTCTTCTTCTTATCTAGCATCACGGCCCACTTGATAAGATCATAGGCTGCTCCAACAAGGATTGCTAGTCCTCTCTATTTCGTCTTTATATATGGCGCTAAATCCGGCATGTGTTCGTCTTCTCCAGTAGCCATCCTCACACACACAGATATATTCTGCGGAGCACTTTCCTTTCGAATGTCAGAAGCGCTTGTTTCTGGCCTTCATCGTCTAACATTCTGAGCCATATGTAAGTACAGGCCAAATAAGAATCTTATAAATACTTGTTTTAGAGGCTTTGGATAAGATGTTTCTCCTTAAATGATTTTGGAGCGCAAGCTATGTGCGTTTTGCAGAAAGAATATTTCGCTCTATTTCTTCTTGCATATCATTTTTGTAGTTGACATTACATAAGTAAAAGTATAATTATAGAAAATGTAGTTTGTTTTATTCTCTTGTTACTTGGATTGATAGTTAACATAAATTGAAAAAAAGTCAGGCCCTAAACATTGTTGATTTCTTGTCATCAACTTCTCCCTTTAGTGTACCATCGGAACCAACTACATGATTTGAAACTAATGCTGTAGATTATACAATAAAGGTTGACGTAGAGAATCAAGACATTTGTGAAAGATGCGTCAAACTACTTCATCAAAAAATTAAACAAAATCCCTTTCAGTAAAAGGGGAATCAAAGTTCAAGGCTGTGGCTTGGTCCGAAATCGTATAAAACATTGCTGAGATCATTATCGTCCCGCCTTGAGTCGTAAAACTCAATGTTTATTAGTCCTGGCTTTTCTGAAATTCCTATCAAAATAATGCTTCTGCCAAAAAATATATTTTCTTTTCTTTTTCCACAAGCGTAAAGAAAAAGAACATTAGCTTTAAAATATGATAAAATGGATACATAAACACGGTGTCTGAGGGATTTCTCTGTAATGGCGGAGAATATTTTCCTAATGCTAACGATAAAAATCCAAATTTCTGTTATAAACTGAAAATTTATCAATGTTTGGCACCCCTTTAAGGATCTAGGATGAATTTTTCTTAAGTTAAGAACGAATTCTTTGAAAAATATAATCGATTTTTCAATCAACCAGCCAATTCTCAATTCATTGCTATCACTGCTATGATCTTTTTGTGAAGCGATATTTTCTTAGTTTCATTATTGGAAATGCTTTAAAAATTTTCGAAAACGGTGACAATGATTGAGAATGTTTTTAGTTGCATTAGGGATTTGGATATTTATGGTAAAAAATGTGGTTTTCTTGAATAACCCTTATATTTTATTACTAATCTATAGAAATAAAAAAGAGTAGGTAGGGTGATGAAGTACATTTCGGTTTATTTTTTTCAATAATGAACCTTTCTAATCGATCAACCTAAAGTTAAGCTCCTCTCCCCCCCCCCTCGAAATTTGAAAAATGAATAAATAGCTTTTGTCGGTCCGCCGTCCGCGGCTTTTTTTCCGATTTTTTTTTAGATTTCGAATCAAATTCAGAGGTCACCCATCGATGAATATCCTACCTGGACATTACTTTACATTATTTCCTTTCAATATGGTGATCGACAAACCTATATCGGTATAGACTGTAACGCCTTAACGAATGTACCGATTTCAATGAAACTTGGTTAAAGTATTTTTTGAAGTCTTTTAAATTTATCTATATAACATATTTCACCGGAAATAATATGGAAAAAATGTTATGAGTGGTACAAAATTTAGATTTCCGCATACACTTTCTTTTTGATGCTTTTTTGTAGTCATTTAAGAGTTTACGTAATTTCCTAAGGAACAAAAATTAATCATTGATATTGGACGATTAAGTGAAAAGATATATGTAGTTCTAAAGTTTTACTGTAAAGCTGGTATCCTTTATTTATTTTTTTTTTTTAAGTCAATTATCAACTGAAGCAGTCGATATTTTTGTCTATATATCTTGGCTAATTAGTAATAATGAAAAGGAAAAATATTCAAGTTATATTGGTAATAACCTTTAATTTATTTTCCAGGAGACAAGGAAGTATTGTTAACATTTAATATATAATTGTTTGAAAATAACAAATCATTGGATACTTATCTCAGTGCAATCAATACCCAATAGGTAAGTAGGGGTTGTTGTATGAAGTGTAACTTAATATAATTAACTAGTAATTTATAATAAATAAATCAAGTGTTTATAGTCTATATAAATAATAGATTTTTTATTGTTTTTTATTTCTTAATGACATTTACAACTGTATTACATAAATACATTTAGTAAATTTGGACATAATAGATATAATGGCATGAATATACTTGCTGAGTAACTACCCAACGGTAGCACTCTAAAAAAAAAAAAAAAAATAGAAAATAATCAAAACTGTTAAACATAATTTAACATAAATTTATAAGTCATGAGTGCTGTTCTCTCATTATACGTCACCAAAGCTACTCGTGCAACTTTACCACACTGTTATTTAAATTAGGATATGATTAGTTGCAACTAATAAATTCATATCTTTATAAATAACTAATATTATCTCATATCTTTCAGAGACAAGTTTAGTCAAGTGTCACTTGTATTCGCAGGATTTGCACATAGTTTTATTTGATATGCCATAAAACAAGTAATTAAACTGGAACAAGTATTGCCTCAGAGATACGACCAGCTCAGGACAAGGCTACAAGGATTATATTTCTGCCAAAAGTGAAATTGATGCTGATATTACCCAACGTAGTCCATAAACTTGAGGTATAAATTAAATTAACGTGTTTTCTTTCTTCATAAAGTGGTTCGCGTGGTTTAAGTTCAAGCTATACTCAGATTGTCTTATATATTTTTCATCGTGAATATTCCCGTTTATTATTTGCAAGGGATATAATTATACTTCTTAACTGCATTTTGATCAAGATTCGCATGCTTCTTTCAATTTTAGTAGTAAACATAGTATTCCTTGCACCTGAGATCTTCAGTTGGAAAATATGCATAGACTGCATAGTTTTTCCTTAAAAGATGTAAAAACTTAATAAACCCAGAACTCTGAAATACATTGACAGCAATGAAAAAACAATAAATTTATTAAAAAATTAAAAATAATATTAAGTATTGTTTTAATAATTAAAAATATAATTTAAGAGTAATCAAAATTATTATGTTTTTATCTATTTATTGTGGTAATGCCTCTAACCCCTAGGCTCATTTCTCGTATTTATACACTTAATGGTAAAACTTGGTTCCGTTTAAGAATTTCATAAGAGATTTCACGTCATTTTCCGAGTTTTCTAGGATTTCTCGTTCAACTCAACTTCAGTTTTTTCTGTATTCTGCAGAGAAATGTTGGTCATGATTAAGTCTTATTTTCAATGTTGGGAAAACATTTCAAAGCAGAGATTCTATTTGAAGGAAGCGTTTCGTTTCCAGGTTTCACAGGGATATTAACGACGTATTTACCATTTTTATCACGAATATGAATTTTGCCAACATTTTCCTCACACAACATTTCATCGAGATCTCCGATTCGAATAGAAGTTTTTTTTCGGTTTTCCAGAAGGTCTTTAAGTTCTTGGAAATATTCTCACAAGACTCGGTGAAGAATGAGATTGCTTCCTGGCAATATTCTTTGTTGTATGTACACTTGTCTTTATTGCATAAGTTTTCATTAAAAAGTATGAATTAGGTTAGAAAGAGGAAAAACATAATAGAAATCTATGAGGGAGAAAAGAGAAAGAAAGGCAAATCGAATGTTAACAAAAAAAAAAACTATATATATAGTAAAAAGAGAAGAAAAAATATTTGCTACACTCATATATATTAATGGTACTGTCTATTTGCATATTAGTTTAAATATCGTAAATTGTATTGATTGATAGATACAAATTTTTATCTCTGTCCCAAGCTTTTCAGCAATATTTCTGAGGACAAAGATGTGATCCTGCGTCTGTCAGCCTGGACGAAAACCAGCTTGTTCCGCTCCTAACTACCCTCCCACAATCCGCTGGAGTCTCCTTTCTAGAATAGAAATGTAAAGTTTATAGACTACTGAAAGCAAACTAATGGGTCTATAATTTTTGCAGTCTGTCGTGCATCCTTTTTTATAAATCGAATTTTGTATCTTGAAAATTTGTATCTTGCATTCCTTGATCTGAAGGCAGCGTTTGACGTGGTCCCAAGAAAAGAAATTTGGAATGCCCTAATAGCCAAAAGTGCACCTGGAGACTTGCTGGCGGCCATACAGTCAGCCTACCAAGAAGCCATGGAAGTGGTAAGGATGAATGGTATGGAATCGGAACCTTTTCCAATTACCAGAGGAGTTAGACAGGGAGATAGCTTAAGTCCCCTTCTATTTATAAATGTAATGGATGAAATCAACAAAATATTCAAGCGCCAAACGTCGTGGACAACAATTGGGAAATGGAATATGGAACTGTCCTCGTACTAAGCCTTTTACACGCGGATGACATAGTCCTAATAGCCGACACCAAGACCAAATTACAACAAGCTTTGGTAGAATGGGAAGAAGAGTTGCTCAGAAAAGGGATGCAAATTAACACCTCCTAGAGTAAAGTGCTGGTAATGGCGAGGGAAGAACGGGAATATGTACAACTGATCTGTAGCGGCTAGACACTTGAGGTAGTGAATGAATATACCTACTTATTGACCATAATAGGTAGTTCGGGTAAGATAGATGTCGAAATATCAAACAGAATATCTAAGGCGAATCAGGTGTATTATCAGACTGATAGCATCATCGGCCACCGCGAAGTAGACAAGAAGACCAAAATGCATCTATATAAGTCTGTTTACCTACCTAAACTCACATACAGCGGAGAAAGTTGGACAATGCTGAACAGGCACTCTAGGCGCATAACGGCAGCAGAAATGAGGTTCCTTCGCAGATCTGTTGGGAGAACTAGAAGGGATGCCATTAGGGACGAAATCATTACAGAGCAACTAGGAGTTACCGAACTTAAAACCACTCCAGAAAGACGGCAACTCCAGTGGTTTGGACATGTCTGCCGCATGAACTAGAACTTGAATCCATTAAAGGCATTAGAGGATCTACCCACAGGCAGGAGACCACGCGGACGCCCCAGAATTACATACCAGGAATATATCCAAAGGATTGGAAGTAAAAGAGGGAAACCTCTCAATGAGTTGAAGCGGCTAAGCAGGGACCTGGAAGAGAGGTGATGCTGGATTGAGGCTCCTCGATGCTGACTAATGGCATAAGAGAAAGACAAAGAAGAAGAAGAAGAAGAATTGAATGGGTTATTGCAGAAGCAACACATGTAAAAATTCAACTATTATAAAACTATCCAAAAAAAGTATTTTATAACAAAATGTTGATAGATAAAAGCCTACAAAAAATAAACAGTGACACCATCCATGAGGAAGACAAAGAAGAAGAAGTATTGATTGATAAGTATGCTGTGTGTGTAGTAACCTAATATTATTGGGCAGCACTTTTTTATGAAAATATTTATTAGCTTTTTCAAATTTAATTAACGTACGCTTACCCAGAGACTGGTGCAGGCTCAGGCTAAAATTTGACAAATAATCATCATCAAAATAATTATCATCACATAATAATTTACTACAATTATTGCATTATTGATGAGATACAATTAAAATTAAATAAAAAATCAAACCATTAGTCAAGTAGTTATTTAACTCCTTTTTTGTTTTAAAGAAAATTGCTATTTGAAGCTATTGAAGCTTCATAATTTTTTAATAAAAATTTCAGTTGGTTTATTTGAATCCGAACTTGAACTTCGTGGTCCTAACTTTTAAACCAAGGTGATGCAAACTTATGAACTCATATTTCAAATAAGGCTTACAGCGAGGCCGTATATTAAAGCATTCAGCTGAAATGAATCTTTGAAACTTCGGTTTCCTCAAAGGCACTATGTAATGTTTGATCATGGCAAAATTTTTAGTTAAGTATTCAGAGGTTTATTTATATAATAGGGATTATTAATTAAAATAGGGATTATTTGTTCTTAAATAAATATATTTTAAAATATATATTTAATGCATGATTATGTTTAATAGTATTTAATATCTTAAACAAAATGATTTTTTTTAAATTATTAGGACGAATTACTGATTTATATTCGAATAAAATCAATTATTTTTTGACATAGAAGAAACGTAACTAAGCCTGAATGAAAAATTGTAAGAGTCAAATGCAAATATATATTGGTTTTACCAATTCTTTATATATAGTAACTAAAATTGTCAAGTATTAGTAACTATTTTGCCTTAATTTTTATTCACAAAAACGAATTTCTTTACCAGTCATGGTCTTGGTTTTGCTACAGTTAGGCGGTCTTGCAAAGTGAGGGACTGATTTTGGGCAACACCAGCTATCTGAATGCAGCACTAAATCTTCATTGATTTGATCTAGCCAACTGAATTTTGGCCTCCCACATGGAAGCATACAATAGGCGAGATACATGTCCTCTTTTTTTCATATCATAAAATATTGATTTACTAGTTTCTGTAAGCATTTCTTCATTGAATATTTTCCTCTATGGATTTGTACTCTCATCTTTGATCTGTTCGATAATCGTGTGGAGGATTTTCCTCCCAAAGCTTTCAATACTTCTTTCTAGGGTACTGCTTAGTGTTGTGATCTTGCAGCCGTAAATAAAATCTGCCTTTGCCGCACCATTATACAGAATTAATTTGAGATATGATATTTGGCGATTTATTATATTGCATAAAATAATATAATGAATCATTGTTATATATTATATAAAATGAACTAATTTAAAAAACTACAGCCATTGTGTCCAATACATGATACAGACAACTTGTTCTTGAACAACGCTTATACATAATGATTAGCAACCTTATTCTTCCATTTTCTGAGTTAGTTTAAGTTATTATTCAAAATGGAGAAAAATAAGAAATAATTGAAGTAAGCAACAGTCAGGATTTATAATTATATTGTTGTTTGCCATTAAATGCGATATTTTATACATTTAGAATTACTTTTTAACTATTAAAATCAAACAAAAATAATCAGACACTTTAAATTAATTCTTTGTAATGATCAGTCCCAAAGTTTCTTTTAAACTAGTATTTCGTCCAATTAAAAGTTTATTAAGTGCCTTTTGTTCAAATGTAAAATATAAGTGACTAATCAAAATCTATTTTATTTTACTTATAAAAAATGGCCGCAACTACAGTTTAATGCTTGCATCGCTCTGTCTTTGTCTCCTTCTCAACTGGCTAATTCTGCAAATACTGCTGCTATAATTTGTGAACAGTGAGCTTTTGTACATTTAAACATTTTCACATTAAATAGTGAGGTGAGAGATATTTATTAACAATATGTTTAATAGTTAATTGATACTAGTTCGGTAGAGACAGCACAGCTGATCGGTAATTCCCTTAACGGGTCTTGCCCTATCTACGTAAGATACACGGCCAAGGCTCTATTTACTAACACTACTTCCTTCGAGTGATATCGAGTTCGTATCCAAACTGATAAACTATTTTTTTTTTTTTTCTTTTTTCTTCTCTCTTTATTTTATTTGTTTATTTTACTCTAAGACTTTTACTTTGGTTTAATTATGTATATTACGATTTTTTCTTACTTTAACTGTAAATAATGTAAATAGCTTAGTTTTAAGAATTTATTTCGTAATTTTTTTTTTTTTTTTTTTAGTGTTATAACAGGTACAGATTTTTTTTTTTTTTTTTCTCTCATTATGGAACCTGACAATACGTCTGGTGAAGAATCG